AGCAGCAGCAGCAGCAGCAGCAGCAGCAGCAGCAGCAGCAGCAGCAGCTGTTGGGTTGTGATTTACAACCATACTCTGCCTTTTTAGGTACTGAATATTATCATCTGAACCTTGCTACGTGGACATAAAAAATTATTTAGATATAGAGTATTTCTAGTGGAACCTGGAAGTAAAAATTATAGGTTGGAAGGGTCAAGAGAACAAGAACAAAATCTAAGCGCTGCAGCCGTTCTCCTTGGCAGTCTTGGAAGTCAGCCCCACGGGGCATTCTGCAGTTGACTAAGTGTGCTGGGCTGTGCAAAGCTTTGATCCAAAGGTCAGTTCCAAGGCAATTAAAACACGCCATCCCTTTGTACCAGATCTTCAAACCAAAGTGCCCGATCAGTGCTATGCACTGAATCGGAGCCACTAGATCAGTGTTTTTCAAACTTGGCACCTTTAAGATGCATGGACTTCGACTCCCAGAATTTCCCAGCCACCTAACACTAACCCTGGCTGGGAGATTCTAGGAGTTGAAGTCCACACATCTTAAAGGTGCCAAGTTTGAAAAACACTGCACTAGATCAATCGGCCAGCCTGGGGGAACCTCCGTACAGGAGCACAAATCCTCACCACTGAGTTGAACTAACTTGTCCCATTAAATTGGATCTTGGGTGATTCACAAAGCATAACTCACATATTAATAATTTTAATACTGGCTTTTGAAAAAGTCTTTATTGTTTAATTTTTTGCAGTTAAGCCTGGTGGCTTGGCTTTCCCTGGCCTCCAGTTTAAAAAAAGAACGAAGGAAAAATTCTCCTTTGCAACCCATCTTTCTTCCACTGGTCTGTTAACTCCCCTGCTTGGAATGTTTAGCTTACAGACATGTTTGCCCGATATAACCCTTTTTGTCATTTCATCCTAATACCCATTTCTTTTTTCCACTTAAGGATTTAAAATGATGATTCCAATGATAACAAATATACTCCCTATCTAACAAGCAGAGTTGCCTGAGCAGTTCTTCCTTGAAAAACAAAAATAAAAGAACACGTACCTGCATCAGCTTCCTTGAAAGTTCATTAGTGAGAAATTCCTCCTCCTTTTCATAATTCACTGCCAACGTCTCCTTCTCCTTCTGCAAAGCTTGAATCTTCTTAAACAGAGTATTACTGATAAATTCTTCTTCTTGCTCTGCTCTTGCTTGCTGTAAGAGAAACACAACCTTACGACAAGAGGACTGGACTGGAAGGCACCCTGCACGTTCCTCTGCCCACGCCCTTCTGCCACTTAACTAAAAGAGGTATTGGACACCAATATATCCATCCTGAAAACCAAAACCCAATCTCTTTGCTGCCTGCCAGCGAGGATGCCATCCTGTTCACAAAGGACCTAGACCTCTCATCTAGAGAGCCAAGGAAGAAAGATAGGAACCAAAGTGCCATATATGCACCTTACAGATAAGAGTGCCTGGCTCCAGAACCGAAGCCAGACAGACAGCAAACCAGAGCATGGATGTGGGCGTGGAATGGATCTTGGTGGTGAATTCTCTGACACAGACAGCACCTTTTTCAACTTCAAGGAGTTTGTGGGCAGAGATTTCTTCCTGTCACTGCACTGAGGTTCCTGGGACAGAGCGCAAATACTGTTAGCCATCACAGAGGCAGACTCTCCTATCCCTCAACTGCAGATTAGACCAGTCACAGAACCAGTCATTTGGAATAAAGTCCATTCTTCATTTCCAGTTGCCCATCATGCTTGACTTTAGTGTAACCAAGGTTATACACTGTCAGGTGGGGTGGGGGAGGAGGAAAGGGAGAACAACCTATTCTTGTTGAGCCAAGAAGCCATCAAACCCATCATGGGCAGGGTGAAAACACAGGGCATCATGGGCAGGGTGAAAACACAGGGCAACCCAACAGATTTCCTTTCTCTTCCCAAAGCTCCCCATGCTTCTACTCTTATAATACCACAGATCCCACAGCACAGAGAATAAATGCAGTGGTTTAAAAGCAAACTTCAAACTATGGATTGGGGTCAAGGAAGTCAAGCCGTGGCTATCATGCACGCTGCGCCTCACATACCCCACTGAGTTTACATCTTTCCTGGTTTGTAGCAAACCTTATTGGTGCTACAGTTCAACCCGCAAATCTGGTTTGCCATTCTGGTTTGGCCAGGCAGTTGCAAAACAGGCGGAACAGGGAGCATAGGAGCACAAAGGTCACTTCATACGGAGCAAGAGTTTGGAGCCAAACGTGAAGCAACACAACTGGCTGGAAGGTGAAATGTCAAACCTAACGTGAGAAATCTGTACCTTCCCTGTATGTTGTGAAATGCCTGCGGATGATCTCTGTGTGATGCCAGGAGCCTGGAAAGGCCACATAAGCCCTACATCCTTGCCTTGATCTTGAAAAGGAAGAGGTGAAAGACTGGGACTAAGAGGAGGGGTGGAAACCAGGTTCTAGCACAGGGGATGTGTTTCCTTTCTCTCTCCATGGGTCTTTTCAAGACCTGCCAAACAGATGGGTATATCCCCTCTTGGGATTCTTCTTAACCAGGGCTGTGCTACATGTTTAGCCTGGGAGCTTTTGAGTGAAGTGACTCCCTGAAAGTGGGGAGGCCAGACAAAACAAAGCCCAAGTTGATAGGATTTAATTTAATTTGCTATTAAAATTAAACCAATGAAGTTATGATTACCCCTTATAAATGTAATGATTGTTGGCTTTGGCTGTTCAAGCACATTCATAAAGTACAGATCACAATAGGTTTAGAACAGCTCTTGGGGGCATATCCAAGGGTTGGGGGAGGTACATGATGGGAAAGGACAGATGGACGGATGCTCAAAGGTGCAAGAGAAACTAGCATGTGCAAAACAGCTCTTTAGAGAACTCTGGAAGAGCTGGTTCTTCTGGTGAACCATAGTGACCCAGTTGCTCCAGGAAATGGCTGTCTGGAGCCAGGCCACATTTACAGTATTTGCTAGGTTTTCATTCCATCTTTCCTTTGGAACTCATGTCCAGGACCCACAAATGATATCCTGGTCTGGAAGGTTTACTTTCAGAAAACAGGGAAAGTAATCTCAGAACAGCTGGATTAGTGTATGTGTGTGTGTTTGTGTGTGGGGGGAAATAAGACACTCTGCACCCCCTAGTGGGAAGTAGGATCTGATTCACACAACACTAATATGATTTCTTTTCAGCTTCGTGAGACACACACAGTTCAATATTGTGGTTTGCTGTCAAGTGCAGAAAAGGCCATTATGACTTCTTCAACAAACCACGACTTAAAAATCCTAGGCTAGTGCTATGTGTCTCAGTATGAATGTGTTCTAACAGAACTCATTATTCAGAAGGTGTTTTGCAAAGATTTGATAGCAATTAAGCATCTGTCTTCTGTTATTCCTTCTTATGGCTTGGGGGGGGCACCATTAATCATCAAGACAGGAAAACACACCTCAGGATGAGCAGTTCTAGAAGGCTGGCTATCACCACTGCAGGAAGGAGGCACCCTGACATCAAACTGAATGGACAGAGTCTAGCTACCACCACCTGCCCCCAAAGAAATAATATCCTTGTGAAGGAAGAACGTGTGACCTCACAAAAGCTAAAAACTCCTTGTCAGTTGTTCAAGGAGCAACCTCCTCCTGCCAATTTTCACACATTTCAGTTTTTACAGAAGCTGCTTTGGTATATCAGAGAAAGACATTTTACTGCATATCTTGAATTATTCTAAGCCAGCCTTCTTCATTCTGAAAGTAGGAGCCCCACATCTGATGCTCACAGTCATACACGGCCAATGTTTATGAAATTCTGGAAGACGCTTGGGATCAAGCTACTTTGGTTTTTCCCATCAGTGACCTGTAGTGCCCAGAGAGCCTTAGTTTAATAACAGAGTTACTTCTAAAGAGTAACGAAATGCAAGGACCTAAGAATGTCAGCTGATTGGGACAGGGGTGAGGTTAATGCCGTGAGGCCCAGTGGTGAATCCTGCAAGAGATGGAAGCCTGGTGGGAAGACACGGCTTTGAGGAAATTGGGGGGAGACAGTTCCCCAAAACCATGCAAACAAATCTGAGCTTGATGATCCTGAGAAGGAGGTGAAGAATCTTAGTCACAGACTGAAGAACAAGGCCTCAAAGGATATTCATCGCAAACCTCTCCTCCCAAAATTGAGTCCCAGACCTCAAGGACATAGAAGAGACTGGGCAGTCTGGCTCAGTGAGTCTAGCCATGGTGGAGATAGAAAGGTGGCACAGAAAAAGATTCTGAATTGCCAGAGATAATCCCTCTTCTTCCTGCCCTGATTAGCACTAGGCAAGGCAGCCTTTTATCCAGCTATTTCTCCAGGGCAAAGGCAGCAGAGCAGAAGCCTTCCCTCGGGAGATGGGAAGCTCAGACAGTCTCAAGAGCAGTCGAGAGAATCCCCAAGCAATTCCTTGCTGGGAGCTTTAGAGGAAGCTGAAAGACCTCCACTGGCATTGCTCTAAGGCAGCGTTTCTTAGCCCTGGCAACTTTCAGATGAGTGGACTTCAACTCCCAGAATTCCCCAGCCAGCCATGGGAGCTGAAGTCCACACATCTGAAAGTTGCCGAGGCTGAGAAACGCTGCTGTAAGGGCTCCCAAGGGGGCCAAGCCCCTGAAATGAGCTTGCTTAATAAGCCCTTGGCAGGGATAACAAAATCTACACTGGGATCTTCCAAGGGGGACTTTGCCCCCACACTAGGCTGCGTCTGGGAGGCCGAAAGGCTTACGAAGATGCACAAGAGGGATTTGCCAAAACTTTTCAAGCAGGGAAACCCACAAGGCTAAAATGAAGGAAAATAACAGGAAAAAGAAGGGATATCCTACCATGACTGTGACTTCAGACATGAATGTGCTATTCCTGGGGTGGCCAAAAATGAGCCCCAGTGCCTCTGGGTGGCTGCCCCAGGCCAAGCCCAGAGGGAGACCTCCTCTCCTCAAGAGCTGTGCAACCTCCAGAAGGTTCTGAGCAGGACCTGAGATCCCTAAAGGCCACCACGAAGAGCCTCTGTCTGGAAAGACTCCTACTTTTCACAGCAAGGGTTCAGAAATTACACAGCTTAAGCAGGGCATGAGTTTCTCTTTTTCTTTCTTTCTTTCTTTCTTTCTTTCTTTCTTTCTTTCTTTCTTTCTTTCTTTCTTTCTTTCTTTCTTTCTTTCTTTCAATTCACAGCCTGAAGCTGTAATACTTGCCTTCATATTGAGAAGGCATAATAAGATCAAGGGGAAGGGAGGATTATTTTGTGTTTATAGAACTGGAATGGACCTCCAGAGGCTTAAACTTTCATTAGTCTCTGAGCTTGTGAGAGCTCTATGGGGAAATTCAACCTTCGCACTAGTTCTTTCTCTCAAGAAACTGGCACAGCAACACAAAGAGGAATTCAGAGGGTAAAATCTGCTTATGTTCAAAGACAATGAGAACGCTTCTGTCATAAGAGAGGGGGAACACTTCTGGCAATCCAGTACCACAAGTAAACTTCTCTTTTCATACTATTTCAATTGCATTATATGTATTTGCAAATTTAATGAAAGTGTGCGTGTGCGTGTGTGTTACACATGCACACTAAACAAGCTATATAATCATTATCTGTGTGAACAGGGCTTTCTTATGGCCTCACAATTTGCATAATCACAACAGTAAGTTTTAAAGAGCTCCCCAAACCGTCACTTGCGTAGCTGCAGCACCAGATTTTTGATACGCTGATGTTCTCATACAGAAATTCACCCTGAGATGGTTTTCACAAAAACGGCCTCACTCAAAATGCAGGAGAGCAGCCACATCAAGAGGAACGGGCAACAACCTCAACAACTTGTGCAAAATGTTGTAAGTCCAGATAAAGGCAAAAGATGTAAGATTCAGACAGCAATTCTACGGATGCCTATTAACAGGGCTCACTTGGATAACATCCTCCTGAGCCTTGTTCATGTGTGATATTCTCATAACATGTTTTAAATCATTTAACCTGAAGTGATCTGAGAACTCTATAGCAACTCAAGAGAAGAATTCACATAGGAATAGTTAAATGTCTAGGAGGAACACAATTAGGTAAAATGTGTGTGGGAATCAGACAAACTGAAGAACTGGAGGAAAGTCCAATTGCTTGTAGGGAACAAAAAACCCCAAACCCAGAAATTGCTTTCTTCATTGCATCCAGCTATTGCCAGATTGACAAACTCCTGAATTTAAA